GGGCAAGCTCTTTGGATATGTAAATGGAGGTACTTGGCTGGCCAGCTCAGGACATTATCTTGAAGGGGAACATGGTTAATAAGGCCTAGAAAGGCTACAATCTTACAAAGAAATGGTCTCTAACAGATTGTAACCTCACAGATCACAGGTTTGGGAAGGGACCCACAGGTATCATTCAGACTGACCCCACAATATTACAACAATGTGTTAAAGCAGTTGAGGGTATCCAATAATTTTTTTATAAATAAACGTCCGGCGGGAGGTTTCTCATTCTGACCATTCACAACGCTGGTCCAGATGCACCTGGGATCTAATGTGGGATCAACCAGCTTTCTCCGTGCGCATACGCAGTTGTGGTTTCTGACACAGTCTTGGGCCTTTGGGATCTGTGATACCTTAATCTGCGGCATCCTTCTCAAAACAGAACAACATTGTTAATTGCTTCTGATTTCCCCTCAACAAAACGCAGCCACCATAGAGGGGACGGATGGGGAACGGAATGTATCAACATCACATAATCCTTTCGATTCTCAGCGAGGATTAGGGAAAGTAATGCATTGGAGGATCCTCTGGGACGCTGTGTGTGGCTCGGCATTTCAGTGCGACAAACTAATTGCTTGATGTGATTGTGAATAATTTACTCAGTGCTGCTCTTTCCACCCCCATGCAAAGTCCCCAGCTTTTCTTTAATTGCGGGTGTGTGTGGAGAGGGTCTTTTTTAAAGACGGAGACAAGGGTGGATAGGCAGAGGGAAAAGATGCTGGCTGTCACTCTCAAACAACAGCTGGAGAAAATGGCACGCAAATGCCAAGAACAAGGCACTTTTGATGAATGAATAACGAAACGGGGCCTTTAACAGTGGAAAACATCCTACCCATCATGCTCTACAGTTGGGACTTCTGCATGTCTGGTGGAAGGGGCTCCGCAGCCACACTCAAGAGCAGGGGTAGGCAAACTAAGGCCCGGGGACCGGATCTGGCCCAATCGCCTTCTAAATCTGGCCTGCGGACGGTCTGGGAATCAGCGTGTTTTTACATGAGTAGAATGTGTCCTTTTATTTCAAATGCATCTCCGGTGTGATGGCCTGGGATTCAAAGGCTGAACCTGAGGAATCCCAGCCTGCACAGGAGTCCCCGCCTCCAGAACCAGCTGAGCCGGGGCTGGGGCTTGAACCTGAAGGGTCCTCACCTGTGCCGGGTCCTCAGGAGCAGACACCAGCTGAGTCTGCTCTGGCTCCGGAGGTGATCGAGGACCCATTGCCTGCAGGTGCTCTACTCTCAGCCCGTCAGGAGAAGCTGAGGTTGCCTCTGGGTCCAGTAACCCTCCAGCCTCTCCTGAGCTGCAGAGGCTCAGGGCAGAGAGGCGGAGGGAACTAAGTTCCCTCAGGAGGAGTGCTCACCTCCAGGCCAGGAGAGACGAGTCACCTGTGGACCAGGGCCGCCCTATGCCTCGGGGCAGATAAAAGCCAGCCAGCCCAGTCCCAGGTTGTGGGAGCAACATTGTTGGTAACCTGTTCCTGCCGGCACCCTGTCCTGCTCTTCTGCCAGAGTTCCTGACCACACCTGACTCCTTGCCTTGGACCCCGCTTCAGCCTTGACGGACAGCCTCCATACCACACCCTTGACCTCAGACTAGACCCGGACCACGCCGCACAGTAACCCCCCGGGACCAGCACATCTGGATTATTTGTGGGGCATAGGAATTCGTTCATTTTAATTTATTTTTTCAAAATATAGTCCGGCCCCCCACAAGGTCTGAGGGACAGTGGACCGGCCCCCTGCTGAAAAAGTTTGCTGACCCCTGCTCACGAGTGTGCCAGGTGGAGCAGGGGTGGGCTAGCTTTTTCATCCCAAGGGCCACATTCCCTTTTGGACCGCCTTCCAGGGGCCTCATGCCAGTCGCAGGTGGGAGCAGAGCCAAAAGTGGACGGAGCAACGTTTGCACCATTATTGTACCTATGCCAAGTTGAGCGGTTTATACTCACCCTGCATCTCAATCCTCCATCCAGGTGAGCAAGAGGCAATATGAGAGCAAGGCCACAAGCTTCTGGGAGGCTGTGAATTGGGGCAAGCCAGAGATGTGGCCAGGGCATGGCTAGGAAGGAAGTGTGGCCTGCGGGTAGTCCCTAGGTCCTTAGAGAGAGGGCTTCATTTGGCCTTCCAGAGCTGAGACAGAGTGAGGGGAGAGCGCTGTTGAACTCAGGTACTGCTTGTGTGTTTCCTGGTTGGCCCCTGTGAGAACAGGATGGTGGACTAGATGGGCTTTGGGCCCGATCCAGAGGGATTTTTTTACGCTCTTAAGAGGGTTAATTTTTGGTGGCAGAGGAAGCAGAAAATGGGCAACCCAGACTGCAGCAGCAGCAGCAGGTCACTCTAGGAAAGCCTGCTGTGTATTCAGTGACAGCAGACATGTGGAATGTGGAATAAGGGATGAACAAAGCACAGAAGAGGTCATGGGACACCTGCTTATAGACTTGACGCCCGCGCTGGATGTCGGGGTTCCTTGCTGGAAAGGGTGACAGGAGGAGGGTTGGGAGCGAAGTGTCAGCAAAGCAATACCTGAGCAGGTGGAGGGAGCCACACTTCTGCAAGCTCAAAACTAGGTCAGTTGCTCTGCTGTGTTAAAAACTAGTGCAACCCCCGGTGTTGACATGTTTGCAGCACCCCGGCTTTCCCTGCGCCAAGCCTCCTGCTGGAACTAACACTGCAGCTCCAACGGTAGCTGAGCTGAAGGCAAGATGCCGCTCTGTGGGGAGGCCCTGCCCCGTTTCTGGGAGGGGAGAGCAGTGCAGCATCCCAAATACTGAAGTTCCAAGATTGCTGACGGCAGAGGAGCTTCTGGGTCAGCCGCCTCCCCTACTCGCGTGGTCCTTCCCAATGAGGACCCCAGACTATGAAATTCCACAAGTGATCTTACCCGTTTATTTGAAATCAGCACACAATTTCAATGCAATTATTTCAGGACTCGGCATGCCAGACCTGCAACAGAATGTTGCCGTGTATAAACTCGCCTCCCAAGACTTGTGCTTCTGTTTCGGGACTCCAGCCGGACAGTTAAGACCTTCCTCTAAAATATTCAGTTCCACTGTCCATGTTTTATGCAGAAGCCCATCCACATTGGCAAGCCATGGCTTTTGAGATGCTTAATTCAATTTAGAATGATTTCTAAAATGGGCTGCTGATTTTTTTTCAAGGGTTGATGGTTGGGTTTTTGTTTTGTTACTTCTGGAAAACAGTGTTTCCCCAGTGGATGTCAATATCCCCCTCTTGTTTTAGTGCCAATGCTGTCAGCACTCAACACCAGAGGTTGTTGTTGTTTTTTTGCTCTTGGGGTACTTAACTACAGTGATACCTCAGGTTAAGTATTTAATTCATTCCGGAGGTCCGTTCCTAAGCTGAAACTGTTCTTAACCTGAAGCACCACTTTAGCCTATGGGGCCTCCTGCTGCTGCTGTGCTGCCGGAGCACGATTTCTGTTCTCATCCTGAAGCAAAGTTCTTAACCTGAGGTAATATTTCTGGGTTAGCAGAGTCTGTAACCTGAAGCGTATGTAACCTGAAGCGTATGTAACCTGAGGTACCACTGTATTTGCTTTGTTGCTTAATGATGTGTTGCTCTTTAAAGGGGGCAGAACTGGAAACTAAATGCTGGGTTAGGAGGATCTTTTGTCTCTTATATAGCCAGCCCAATAGTCTACTGGGAAGCTAATCAGTGCAAGACTCACTAAAACAAAGGGCAGGTTCCCAGGGACACAGAGCTTCCCATGGTGCATCTGCAGCAGCACAACCAGGCGCCTTCATCTACCCCACCTGCAACAAAACATCTCTCTCCTGTATCCGCCCCTATAGCAGGCATTGTAACTCTCCAATGGTTTGACTTCACTCCCAGAGGCACACTCCTCCATTGTCTCCCGTGACTGACAGATGCCAACCCAACCCTAGTGCAGGAGGATCGGATGGGGGCTGGCTACTTGAAAGAGGGGGGGGCACCCTCAGGTTGTGATTTCGAGACCATTCCCCAGCAGCGATTGGCAAAGCATTTCACTCTCACTTTCCATTCCTGCTCTCAGGAAGCTTTCCCCACCCAGGACTCACAAAATAAATACAAAGCACACACTCAAAAAACAAAGAGCAAAATCTCCAGGCTGTGCGAAGGACAGAAAACGGGGGATTGCAGGCACGGGGACTTTTAAGCATCCAAGGAAAAAAATTACTGGAGCAGAAAAACTCAAGCCAGCACAAAGCCAGCCAGAAGGCAAATTCCTGGGCTGCGGCAGCAAGCTTTGCTAACCCTTGGCACGGGGGGGGGGGGGGGACCAGACGTTTCGACATGGCAGAAGAGATATCCGAGGGGTTCCACTCCATGGCCAAGGGCTCCAGCAAAATGAGGCTGCGCACCACTGCCTGGAGGGCCCCTGTCCTATTTTAGAGAACCCTCACATAAACTCCTATAAACCCGTCGACTCAGAATTAAGTTCCACGAGGCTAACTCTCAAGGGAAATGCATTCAGGATTAGAGTCTTCAACTCGCCCCCCCTCTTTTGGTTTGCCTTTCTGACGTGGGAGGGGTCCGTTTCCAGTCAAAGAAAACACCACACGCCATTCCCATTTTTTTTCAGGCAAGGTATCTTTTTGACATCTGCTAAGGAACTATTGTGTGGTGCAAAGGATTCTGGGGCAGATTGTGAGGGGCTCTCACACACAGCTTGGCCAAGGCACCAATCCAGCTGGGCCTCACCCTACCCCTGAGTGAATTAAGAGGATGCTACAGAAGGACCTACTGCCGCCCTGCGTCGCAAAGCAAGATGGGTGTAGAAATCAGAGGGAGGTCACAGAAAAGGAGATGGTTGATATTCTATCCAAATTGATGTGTTTTGGAAGATCATATTTTGAACGGCTGGCAGAATTCCGGAAGGCTGCTGGTTGACCATTGGGAGAACATGGGCTACTGGCCTGATCCGCCAGCCAGGCACCTCTTAGTTTCTTAGGAACAACAAGTAAATTCGTAGGAAAATAAGGACTTTATTGGAAAAGAACTACAATGAGAAATGCTAGGATAATATTCAGAAATATAGCTTCCCTCTGTTGTAATGCAGCTGGGCACATATCTCATATTCACCATGTGTGAGAGAGTGAGAGAGATAATGTATTTAATTCTTGTTGTTAATAGCTTAAATATCTATTTTGCTAATATAAAACTTGATTTTGTAAAGCAAAATCAGATTCCAAAAATAAATTGTGCTTTGGTTGTGTTTATTTCACTAGCAGTGACAGAGCTGGGGAGGAAAAAGGATAGTCAGTTGAACACCTCTGCTTCCCTACTTGTCAGAGGATCTGGATAGCAGAGCTTTCATCCATTAATGCGTGCAAAGTAGACTAGAGTAGACCACAATCTTACAGAATGCTTGCACAGGAGGGGAGGAGTTTTGAAGGGAGGGCATTTCCAGTGGAGGTGCTCCCCCTAGTGGTACCCAAGCAGCAAATTGCTCCTGACGACACAAGTCCGTCAAACCTTACATTACATGGAAAGATAATCACTAGATAGTCATCAAACTGGAGGCAAAACTCCTCCCCACCCACAAATATAAAGCTCATCCCAGATCCTGAGCAGCTGTGAGGCTCCAGCCATAAACCACAAGCTTAACATTAGGATGCCCAATCTGTTTTATGAGTGACTTACCATTCTCGAATTATTTGGAGTGGGGCGGGTGGGAAGGAAGGCTGATCTACATTTTGCCATGTGCTGCTCCACACTGCAGACGGTGAAAGAGAGTCCTGAGAGGGAAGACCAGTTTTCCACAGCTGCACTATTTGCTCCAGAGGTTCAAAGGTCTTGAATGATCACTGGTGCAGACTCTCCTGGCGATTTGTCCTGGAGATCCAGGATAACAGAACGGCCTTTTCGTGTGTGTGTGTGTGTGTGTGTGTGTGTGCATGTGTGTGTGTAGTTCAGCTTCAGTATTCATGCACGAAGGAACAAAGGTCAATTCTAAAGCCGCAGCCCTGGAACCCTGGGATTTTTCATGTTGCTTTCCTTTTCTTCTTAGGCCTGCCTGCTTCTGCCCCGTCCCCTGCCTTTGCTCCCTCTCCGCCTAGAGCCCGCAACGAAGGCAGCTGCAGCTTGCTGCCGATGGCCCAAGCCCAGAGGCACATCTCCACACGGTGAGGCGTCCAGGCCTGTTCTGCATCAGCTAGGAAATGGATCAAGAACGAGGAATCGGTTGGGCTGTGTGCTTTGAGGATGTAGAAACCCTGAGACTGGGGGACAAGTGTGGCCCTTGGGGCCAATTTATGTGGCCCTAGGCCACGCCCCTTCCCAAATCATGCCCCTCATTGCCCTGCCCTGAGCCCTGCTTGGGTTCTGCTGCACAACTGGAATTTGTCCTTGAGTTGTGATCTGGCTTCTTGTTTGCCTGGACAGAGGGGTGTGTGTAGAAGGAAACACACCCTTTGTGAGCCCTGCTCACTTCTGCCTCTGGCTCAGACCCCAGAAGGTTGTCTACAAGGGAATATGGCTCTCTGACTGAAAAAAGTTTTCCCAAGAAATACAACTGAGCTAAATGGACCAATGGTTGGATTCAACATAAGGCAACTTTCTATGGGAACTGGACAAGAAAGCCAGAAATGCACAGGAACAAATAACTTGACTTGTCTTGGAGCTTTTAAATAATTATTATTTTAAGTGAAGCGGCTGATGGAAGATCTGCATGCAGCAGACAGTTTTGGACCACCTGGCTCCCAGCCTCTAAGCTCTCTAGACTACGTTTCCTCATCTTGCCTTGAAATTCCTCTTATGGACACCATGTTTTGTAAGCTTCTCTGCTATTGGTCTGCCTTAGGTTTGCATATTCCACCATGCTACCATATATGCCAGGAAGAGACTCCCTTCCTCCCTGCCCACCAATAGGATTCTGTCTCTACCTTTAAAGCCCCTCCTCTACACGGAGCGAACCTTTCTGAAACTACTACCTGAGCTCCATCTTGCCTGCAATGGGAGCACCTTGGCTATCACCACTGGATCTGTCCTATTATTATTATTATTATTATTATTATTATTATTATTATTATGTGGGGTTGTGCCTTTAGCCCACGCCTGAAGTCACATGGCACCTCCCTGATGCTACCCATGCACTTAGGATAGATTTGAAGTGGTGGAACCAATGGAATGCAAATAGGAGGTTTCTGTGAGCTGGAAGTCTGTGCGCTCAGCATTCTAGCTGACAAGGAGAACCCTCCTCATCCAGCAGGCATCCCCACCCATTTCAGAGTGTGCACACTGTCCTAACTTCTCCCACCTTACCTTCGTTTAGCTTCTTGACACAGCTCTGGATTCCGTCAAGGTAGAGCAGGTAGTGCTTGAGGGTATACTGGACAGGGACAAGGCCTGGCAGAGACTCTACTGCTTCGTCGGCCATAAAGGCAGCTGCTTCCGGGGCTCCGGAAGTCAGAATCGCTGCAATGGGAGCAAAGGCAGATGTTGGGGAGGATGGCGGGAGAGCAGTATCACACATGCACCTTGAGCTCTCGGCATCTGAAGCTACAAGATTCTTAAAGAGGGAGAAGGAAATATGAGCAGAAGAATCTGCATTATTCAGAGTAAGGTAAAGGGGACCCCTGACCATGAGGTCCAGTCGTGGCCGATTCTGGGGTTGTGGCACTCATGTCGCTTTATTGACCGAGGGAGCCGGCGTACAGCTTCCGGGTCATGTGGCCAGCATGACTAAGCCGCTTCTGGCAAACCAGAGCAGCGGACGGAAACGCCGTTTAGCTTCCCGCCGGAGCAATACCTATTTACCTACTTGCACTCTGACGTGCTTTCGAACTGCTAGGTTGGCAGGAGCAGGGACCGAGCAACGGGAGCTCACCCCGTCGTGGGGATTCAAACCGCCGACCTTCTGATCGGCAAATCCTAGGCTCTGTGGTTTAACCCACAGCACCACCCGTGTCCCTTATTATACAGAGTAGGACCATCTTATTCCTTCCTGTCAACTCCATCTAAAGCAGGTTGAATCCTCCCTTCATGACCCCTAAGGATTCAGGTCTCAATGTCCCCTCCTCAGGCCATGCCCCGCCTTCGAGTGCTGTTGCCTGGCTGCAGTGCCTCCTTCAACTGCAATCATAATGCCTCTTGCTTGCCTGACTTTCGCGTGGCTGGGATGTTCAAAATCTGACTTTGTATAAGGCAGCCTCTTACGCCCCCAGCAGTCCCAGCCAGCACGCCTAGCCGTCAGGGATGACGGTCCTCGTAGCCTAACAACATCTGGAGGGTCACAGATTAGCCACCCCTGCCCTCAAAAGGCTGGAATTATTTTTATTTGTAAAAAACCGCTGCTGCTGCTGCTCATACAGCTTGACAAGATTAAACCCCGTGGATCCTGGCTGAAAGCTTAAACAAACAAGCAAAAAATTTAGACCAATATGTAGCAGTCTGTAATAAACATGGGGCAGGAATATGCCATCTGGAATATGAAACTCCGTTCAGGAGTGGCCTCTGTTCAGGAAAAGTGGGGTGGACTAGGCAGCCACATTCTTGGTTTCGGTCCCATCTACCTCATTATGCTACTTTAAACAGCCACGGCTTTCCCCCAAAGAATTCTGGGAACTGTAGTTTCTTAAGGATGCTGAGCGCCGTTAGGAGACCCCAGTAGGAGTAGTTTCACAGTCAATTCCTCTCCTCATGGAACTCTGAGAATTGCAGCTCTGCGAGCAGAATTGGGATCTCCTAGCAACTCTCCACACCCTTAACTAATGCCCAGGATGCTATGGGGGAAGCCATGACTGTTTAAAGTGGTATGAAACAGCTTTAAATGTAAGGTGCAGATGCGGCCTTAGGCAAGGTTAGGTGGGGAATGAGGGAAGCTCTTGTTGTTAATTTGAGCCCTATTCATGTTACTTCTGCATAGGGCAGAGTGGGACCCCCTCTTGTTCTTTCACTACGCATGTGTGTGTTGTGTACAAAAAAATATAGAGCCCAACATGCAAGATCCAGATACCTAATTATTCAGGTGTTCCAGTAGCATGGAATCCCTGCTTATGAAGAAGCAGTCACACTGCGGACTTTCTCGTCTTCTTTTTTAAAGTTGTGGAACACATGCTGTCAAACAGGCAAGCCACTGTTTATTTCTGTCTCTCTCTAACATTTGTATTGTTACATGTCGGGGGGAAACGTTACTACCTCCACTCCCAATAATAATAATTCTTTTCAGGGGTTGTGAATGAAGTGATCCACATTTGCATTATATGTGTATGTTTAATTTTAATTCAACTGCTCTTTCTTTCTTTCTTCTTGTATGTTATAGAAGTGTCTGCCCTTTCTTAAATAAATAAAAATTCAAGAGAAAGAGAGAGAGAAATTCAGGTTCTGAAGAATCACAGAGTTCCTTAGATCGTCAATGACAGGCAAGCTTCTCTTGAAGGGTGGCTTCCCTCTTGTGGAGCAGGTGCTACCTTTCCTTGTATAGCCACAGAAGACTGTTGTGTTGGTTCTATAGTGCCCTTTCAGCTGAGGAGACCTGGCAGGTCACAATCCCAGAATCCTCTGCACCGCACAAGAGTTTGGTGGCAGAGAGGTGGGGGAGCTTCAGGAGGCAAATGGGTTTGAAAAATCACATGATTGCACAAGTGTTTGAGAAAACCCAGGCAGCACTCGGGCCAGGCTAATGGAAGGGGCCTTGCTGTGTCTGCAAATGCTCTTCCACATGGGAAGATTGCCTTATACTGAGTCAGACCACTGGTCTATCTGGATCAGTATTGCCAACACTGATTGGCAGCAGATCTCCAGGTTTCAGAGTGGGAACGTGAAGCTGGGGCCTTCTGTGTACAAGGCAGATGTTCCTCCACAGAGCTACCACCGTTCAAGAAGAAATGTTTTGCTGTGATCATGTTAAGAGAATGTTGGGTGAATGAAAAGAGCACAATCATTGCTCAAACTCCTTGCTGGATGTGTAGGCAAAAAAATACAGGAAATAAACAAACCTGGAGGCTTCACGGCCTTTCCTACCTGAAGCTGTGGCGGGCCCCACAGCCTTGAGTTTGCACAGCTCAGTCATGGCAGCTGCTACGTCAGGGAGGAGCTGGAAGGCTTTTCTGGTACAGCTCTCCACCATCTCGCTGGAGTTAGTGGCCACCAGCTGCTGGAGTCGAGGGCGAAACTTGCCTCTCTGCAGGGGAGAAGGCAGTCATTCCCACTTGGGCCTACACTGCTGACTTAAAATTAGTTCTGAGTCTCATATGCTCACACAGGACAGAGCTACGCTATGGAACGCTCTCCCCAGTGAGGTCTGCCAGGTGCCTTTATTGTGCTGCCAGCTTTGGAGTGCCAAGACTTGCCCCCCAGGCTTCTGAATAACTGAGCTAGTGCTATTGTGCTGTTATTGGGGCACTTTGTGTGTGTGTAAAATATAAAGAGGAATTGCAGGTGTTCTGTATGAGTTCTGTTAATGGTATAGTATATTTATGCTGATGATTTTAAACGCTTTTTTAAAGTCTCTTGGAGACCTTTTGGAAACAAATGATTATAAAGTCCAAAAAGTAAAAATATATTGCCATTATTATAATGCGATTACAGTGGTACCTCGGGTTAAGTACTTAATTCGTTCCGGAGGTCCATTCTTAACCTGAAGCTGTTCTTAACCTGAAGCACCACTTTAGCTAATGGGGCCTCCTGCTGCTGCCGCGCCGCCAGAGCACGATTTCTGTTCTCATCCTGAAGCAAAGTTCTTAACCTGAGGTACTATTTCTGGGTTAGCAGAGTCTGTAACCTGAAGCGTATGTAACCCGAGGTACCACTGTACTGTTATTTTATTTCACAGGCATTTCCCGTTACCTAAACGGTCAGTGAATATTTTAATTTTATTTTTAACTTCCGTGAGCAGATGTGAGGGGTAGACTTTCTAAAACAGGGATGGGGAACGTGGCCCTCCAGCTGCTGTTGGACTCCAACTCCCATCAGGCCCTGCCAGCGTGGTCAGTGAGCAGGGATGGTGGGAGCTGTGGTCCAGCTGTATCTGCAGGGCTGCAAGTTCCTGTGACTACGCACTATTATGCCCCTGGGTCCACGCTGCCTCTGCTCCACATGGCAACCGACTCTGGCAGAATTACTTACGGAAAGCTTCCATTCCATCAGCCTCACCAGCTCTTCTTTTGTCAAGTGTTTGTCCTTCCGCCCGGAAACAGCAATTGGCAGCTCCTCTTGATACCTGCAAATGGTAACACATGGAAGGGAGTAAAAACAATAAAATGGTTTTGAATAGCATTGAAAAGATCAGAGAAGGGAAACACATTTCCCCCTTCTTCGATTAAATTGATTTGGGCAAAGCTCACAGAAGACAAAAAGAGAAGAACTGCACAGGCCACAGACTTGTCCAATTCATTGCTCTGGGGACTGGCACTGCTCTGCTGCAGAAGTCATATTGGACTGTATGATTGGCAGGGGAGGACTTGGTGGCCCTCTTGCTGCTGCCCCCATGAAGGGCCTTTTCAGTGGTGATTCCCTGAATGTGTAATGCCTTCCCTAGTGAGGTGTGCCTGTCTCCATTATCATCAGCTTTCAGGAGGAATTTAAAAACATTCATGTTTACCCAAGCATTGGGTGGCTAAAGAATTCTGTTCCTGGCAACCTTGAGAGCACTGGATACAGGAATGTTTTTAACGGAAACTGATTTTAGATTGGATTAATTGTAAACGTTTCAGAATGCTTTTGTTTTGTTTTTAATTGTGCTTCTGTTTGCCACCCTAGGCTCCTTGGGAAGGAAGGGTGGGATATCAACTCAATAAATTAGCAATTCAATAAATAATCTTAGCAGGAGGTCCATTCAGTACGACATAAAAATCAGAGGGAGCAAGTAAGGATACACATAAAACAAAGTGATAAAAATATTAAGGTCACGAATAAGAAACAAGTGTCTTAAGATTCTCCAGCTCTGCTGCCAGTTATGAAAAATCATCACAGTGTTAAGGCTGCAACTGAAGCATCAGAACATAAGAAGAGTCCGGAGGCCATCACTATACATCTTCCATAGTTTAGCTGTGGGTTAAGAAGGCCTTCCTTTTGTGCATCCCAAATCTTCCAGTGTTCTGCTTCACTGAATGTAAGATGAGAGAGGGAACCCCCCCCCAGAAGCTCTTTGCTGTAGCAGGTGTGCTCTGCTACCTGCTGAAAACATTTACCATTTATCCAAGGCAATGGTTTTCCCCTTCTTGCTCGCTTTGGCCATGACCACATCCTGGTAAACATTCAAAACCGCTCTCCAGTATGCAGGGTCATCACATCCATAAAGTCCTCCTTCCAGCCCCATCATTTAAGGCTTCCTGAAACAGAAGGCAAAAACAAAAGCAGGGAACTAAGCAGCAGGGCATTGGAGAAAATAATAACAATAACAATAACAACAACAACGGCAGCATTTACACCTCACCTTTTCCCCAACGAGCTCTAGATGGGCCTACGCCTCTCAGTAACTAGATCCTATTTTAATGCCTAATGGCAGTTTACTCTTTTATTGATTATAATGTGTATTTTATTTGAGATTATAACATTGGAACAGGCATTTTATTTGCTTTTTGTTTACCAGCCATTGTACTGTAAGGCAGTCTTAACCTTTTAAAAAATCCTTAACATAATAAAAAAACGGATTGCACTGCAAGTTTGCATACATGAAAGTGACCTCACCCTGAAACTATGGGGTTCCCCGCTCAATGATCCTGCTTGGGAAGAAGGTGGCAGTTTACCGACCAAGGATGCAAACCTAGCAGAGATCCAACTTCAGGTTATATCAAATGGTAGTCATACTCAGAGTAGACCCATTGCAACTACTAGACATGACTTAGGCCCATTAATTTATATGTCTACTCTCAGTAGTAGTACTTAGCTAATATAACCTTTAGTCATACATACAAACACCCATATAAATCATGGTGCATATTATGGGTCTTTCCCCCTCTAATTATGACTGAGACCGGATCCAACCTGAGGGGTTTACTCCCAGAGTAAACCACCTTGCTGAAATCCTACACAGAATAGTAGTACTGTTTTAAAGTGACCTACCCCACTGAAATCACAGGTCTCCAACAGGACAGATCCAAACTTAAGCCATTAAGTAGACTCACTGGCATCCTCATTAAAATCATAGGACTTGTGTGAGGTTTTCTCCAATGGGATGGATCCAACCGTAAGCCATTCTTATAAGCAGATTCATTGTAATCATAGGACTTCTCTCTAATTATGACTAAGATGGGATCCAACCTGAGGGCTTGATTCCCAAAGTAAACAGCCCTGCTGAAATCCACAGGGCTGTCATTTCCCTCCGTAAACCTACTTAGGAGGAGGAGGATAGCAGCGGTTTGTTAAGTTTACCTACCTGGATATCAGTCCCACGGAAACCACAGGATATATGGGTCTTTTCCAGTGGGTAAGTCAAACTTACAGCATCGTGGGAATTTTGGGTCTTCCAATCTTAATCATGGCGAAGCTGGGACCCACTCTGAGGGGATGGCTGGGTCTTGGGATTCAACCTCCTTAAAATGCCAGAACTCATGAGATCTTCCAACAGGTCGGATCCAAACGGGGTGCTGTGGGTGTTTACTCCCAGAGTAAACAACCCCAGTGAAATCCAAGGGGCTTTCATTCCCCTCTTACTTATACTGTGTTAAGTTTTCTTACCCCATTAAAACCCCACAACTTCTGGAATGGGAGGGATTCAGCCTTAAGCCATACTTACGAGCAGACTCACTGGCATCACGGGACTTCTGGGTCTTCCTGTTTAACTATAGGACTGAGCCAGGATCCGACCTGAGGGGTTTACTCATGGAGTAAAGAGCCCTTGCTGGAATTCACGGGGCTTTCATTTCCGCTCCGTAAACCTAACTTGGGAGGAAGAAACAGCAGCGGCTTAGCCTAGCCTCACCTAAGCGGGAGCCCTCGGTCAGCCAACGGGCCTTGCTCGCGAGTAGCCCCCCCCCCCCGCAGGATCGTGGCCGTTTGCCGCCTCCCGCCCCTCCAGCGCCCTCGGGAAGGCGCCGCCGTGCGTCCGGCCGGGGTCCAGGCGGCGCTCTCGCTCCGCGGGCCGCGCTTCCTCCGGCGCCTGGGCCCGGCCCTTTCCGTTCGCGCGGGCCCCTCCTCCCTCTCGGCCCGCCCTCCTTCCCCGGCTGCGTTGCCTGTGCTGCGGGCGGTGTTGCTGCTGCTGCTGCTGCTGCGGGCGATCGGGGCCCGGGCCGGGCTGTGGCGGTGCGGCGAGGCCGGGGCGATCGGTGCCCGCCGGGCTCCTCCGGGCGGGCCGGCAGCGGCGGCGGCTGCTGCGGCTGCTTCTGCCTGGGCGGCATGAAGGGGAAGGAGGAGAAGGAGAAGGAAAAGGAGAAGGAGGGCGGCGGCGGAGGCGGCGGCGCGGGGCTGACGGGCGGCGGGCCCGGTGTGGGGCTGGTCGGCGGCGGCCTCGGGGGCGGCAGCCCGGAGAAGAGCCGCAGCGCCCAGGAGTACAAAGAGCAGGGCAACCGGCTCTTCGTCAGCCGAAAGTACCCGGAGGCCGCCGCTTGCTACGGGCGGGCCATCGTGAGTCGGGCCTCTGTTTTGGGGGGGAGGGCGGGCGGAGGAGGGCGGCGAGAGGGCCCGGGTGGCCTCTGAGCATGGGCAGAGTGCGCTCACTTGAGAGGCTTGGTCTCGCTTTCGAGGGGGCGAGAGGGGGCTTCGTTTGAGCTCAGGCCCCGGACATTATTCTGAGTCGGAGGGGGGCGGGTCGTGAAGAAAGGGAGTGTGTACCTCTGAGCATGGACTGAGTGCTGAGTGTTGTTTAGAGGCTGGGCGGAGCGTTGGAGGGGCGGAGCGGGAGCAGGAGGAGGCGGCTCAGGCCCGTGAGCCTTATCCTGGGAGAATATATGAGAAGTGGGGAGAATGCCTCTCTGGGCATGTGCAGAGGGCCTGCTCTCCGGTATGGTGGCATAGGAAGCAAGCTGCAGGGTGACCAAGACTCAGTGTGAGTCTCCCAGCTGCTCCCCAGTGTTTTGGGTTTACCCCAAGAATAGCTGAAGGGGAGTAAGAAAAGAGCCCTCTGAACATGGGCAAAGTGCATGCTATGTAGAGCCTGGCGTCAGACTGCAGGGTAGGAGGACACTCAGATGATGCAATCGTGGTGTAGGAGATAAGTGTCCTTTGGATCGCTGAGCCTTTTCCTCCGAGATATGAAGGGAGGTGTGACCAAACAAAATGGCCCTCTGAGCACCAGCAGAGTGCTTGCCCTCTTGAGACAGATGGGGGTGAGGTGAGGAGAGGAGATAAACTGGGAGGTGCCAATGCCGGAGTTCAATCGGAGCCTGGATAGGCTTACTCTAAAAATAATTTGAAGGGGCAACGCGGGGGGAAGTGGCAAGGGCACTTTTCTTTGAGCATGGGCAGATTATGATTCTGGCCCTTGATTTGACAGGAGCAAGGTAGGGAGAACAGTGGACATTAAGAAGCAAACTGGGGTGTGTGACTAGGGCTCTATTTGTGCCAAAGCTCATCCTTCTCTTCTCCCTGCCAAAAAACCTTGTTTTAATGCTCAGTTTTATCTCCAGTAATGTGTGATAGGAGGCAGTGAGGAAAGGCAGCATTTCTGAGCATGGACAGAGAGCATGCTGCCTTTGGCATCGATTTGGGAGGCGACAGGGATGAAGCAAGCAAAGTGGGAAAGGGCCATAGCTCAGTGGTACAGCATTTGCTTGCATGCAGAAGGCCCCAATTTCAATCCTCAGGTTGGGTTTGCAGAGAACCCTGCCTGAAATCCTGGAGAGCTGCTGCCAGTCAGTGGAGACAGTACTGAGCTAGATGGACCAATGGTCTGACTCAGTATAAGCAACATCCTGTTTGAACCTCCAGACTTGTTTTTCACTGCAAACTCACTTGGTGACCTTTTGCCAGCCACCCTTCTCTGTAAGCCTCAACCCTTCCTACTTTGGACAGTTCTGAATAAAGGTCCCACCTTCCTTGTTTGAGGAATTGAAAATGAGTTCTTAGGTTGTCTTCAGCCAGATTTCACTACATGTGCCCCTATCCATGCAGCAAGGCTGATAACACCACAGGTGCACATTTAACAATTAGCACTTAGTGGCACTTCTGTGGCTGCACATTATTTCTATTGGGACTCAGAATACATGATTCTCTGGTTGCAATCACTCTGTCTCCAGGGGTTTCCCTGAGATCTGCACCAGTTCTCTTCACTGTTTTGAGTCCTGTGATCTACCTTTCAGATTAAGCTGCTGCACGCTACTTTTTTTTTTTTTTTTAATGGTAGTCGCCTGCCTGGAGAAATAATGATAATCAGCTGCTCAAATGATATAACCTCACAGAGAAGATGGGTAGCTCAGTCAGTAGAGCATGAGGTTCTTCATCTCAAGGTCATGGGTTCCAGCCCCATGTAGGGCAAAAGATTGCAGGGGGTTGGATTAGATGACGCTTGTGATCCCTTCCACCTCTACAGTTCTGTGATTCTTTGAAGATATACTGGGGTTTAAGCCTTTTCGAAAGCCATGGCTTAGACTTGGCAGCCCTTTCTCTGATTCTAAATGGATTGTAGGAAATGCACTCTGCCCATGCAAAACGAAACAAAAAAAAATAAAACGCTACTCTTTGCAGGGTGGGGCAAACTCAAAATCTGACTGTACAGTGGTACCTCAGATTACATACACTTCAGGTTACAGACTTCGCTAACCCAGAAATAGTGCTTCAGGTTAAGAACTTTGCTTCAGGATGAGAACAGAAATTGTGCTCTGGCGGCACGGCGGCAGCAGGAGGCCCCATTAGCTAAAGTGGTGCTTCAGGTTAAGAACAGTTTCAGGTTAAGTACGTACCTCCAGAACGAATTAAGTACTTAACCCGAGGTACCACTGTACTTAAACCACTCCCTGGTCCAAGTTGAGAGATCAGTAAGACGGAACTTGCCTCTCATTCTGTAGCGGTTGTAGCCTTGCCCCATACTTCAGTGGTTCCACTCATCTAGGGCTGTTTCCAAGAGGTGGTCATGGGAAGCTGCTGTTCAGCGCCATTGGAGTTGTCCTGTGGTGTCCTGCAGGCTTCCGTCTTGTCCCCCATGCTATTTAACATCTATGTGAAGCCTCTGCGGACTGTCATCCAGGGATTTGGAGGGGCGTGCCACCAATATGCAGATGTCACCCAACTCTTATCTCTCGGTTCCATCTGAATCAGCAGAGGGAGTTGAGGTCTAGGCCAGTGCTTGGAGGCAGTGATGGGCTGGATGTGGGCCCATAAACTGAAGCTGGATCCTGAAAAGACAGAGGTGTCATGTGCCCTGCGTTCTCACTTCTGAGAGGTGGGCTGCCCTGGAAGGGGTTGCACTACTCCCCTAGAGGTGCGTGTGGCACCTTCAATATACAGCTCCCAGTGAATGCTGAAGACACACCTCTTAGCACTGGCTTTTGACACTTGAGGTGTCTATTTTTAGAACCTTTAGAACCTTCCTTATATTTAAAATTGTAAGGTTTTTTTCAATTGTTTTTAATGTTGTGTTTTAATGCTGTAACCTGCCCTGGGACCTTAGGGTGAAGGGTGGGTAATAAACAACAACAATAATAATAATTTAGAAAGTAGAGACCCGCCTGAAAACAATTTCTTCCAAGGATATGAAGCTGCCCTGTTTGTCCATTTAGCCTGGTAGTGTCCACACTGACTGGCAGTTGCTCCTTTAGGATTTCCCTGGAGATTTCCTCCCCTGCCTGAAGATGCTGGGATTTGAACCCAGAACTTTCTGCATGTATAGCATGTGCTCTGCTTCTGGGCTATGGCATGTCTACTAACAAATAAAGTAAGTTTCTAGTCCTCATGAAGAAAAGGCTGTATTAACCCGAAACCCAGGAAGCTGCCGTATACCAAGTTCGAGCAATGGCCCATCTAACCCACCCTGACTGGCAATGGCTCTCCTGTGATTTTAGATGAGGGTCTCTCCCAGTCCTACCTGGCGATTGGAGGGATTGAATCTGGGGCCTCACCTTCTCCCATAGATCCCTTGAGGGCTGTTTTAGTCTCCCATCTGGCCCCTCATGCTTATATTCTCTTTCTTTCCTTTTAGAACCGGAATCCCTTAGTGGCAGTCTATTACACCAACCGCGCCTTATGCTTCCTTAAGATGCAGCAGCACGACAAGGCCCTGGCTGACTGTAAGCATGCCCTGGAGTTGGACAGCCAGTCCGTGAAGGCGCACTTCTTCCTGGGGCAGTGCCAGATGGAGATGGAGAACTACGACGAGGCCATTGCTAACCTTCAGAGAGGTAAGCTGGCTCTCGTTTCCAGGCTAGCCGAGTCGGTACGGGTGTGTCTTTCTAGGTACCGCCTTTCAGCGCAAGGTGGTCACAAGATGACCAATCAGTGAAACAGAATCAACCATAGCTGCCTTGCACTGAGCCAGACCATTGGTCAATCTAGCTCACTACTTTCTACACTGACTAGCAGCCAGTTTCCAGGATTTTAGGCAGGGATTTCTCCCAGCTTTTGCCAGGGTTTGAACCAGGCATCTGCCCAAGTCGACATGAATTCTGTATCGCTTAACAATCCGGCAAGGACAGCTTTGTCTTTGGATAGCAGTTTTAGCCAGGGAGTCTAGAACAGCCACATGTCTTTGACTTGAGAGCAATTGTGGGGCCTAGCCTTTAGGCATCTAACTTGTACACAGTCAGAAACTGTGGTTTGTTCATATTGTTTTCGTAGAATGAGCCAGGACCAAGCCATGCTTCCAGTCTGGCTTGTTCCGAAACCACAGCTTAAACAAGCTTCAGTTCAGGCACCACCACCACCATCATCATTAATTAAATTTATATACCTCCCTATACCCGCAAGTCTCAGAGTGGTTCACAGGATAAAATCAGAATATAAAACCACGAAATACATAATCAAAACAAAAACAACCCTGTAACAGCCCCCCCAACACATTTTAAAAGGGCATAGGATGTCAATCAATCAAAGCCATGGTTGGTTTGACTAAGAGTAGAAGTGGAGGTTTCTTTTCCCCTTAGAATCCTAGAATTGTAGAGTTGGGAGGGACCATGAGAGTCATCTAGTCCACCCCCTGCAATGCAGGAATCTTTTGCCCAATGCGAGGCTCAAAGCCACAACCCCGGGATTAAGAGTCTCCTCTCGTACCTACTGAGCTATCCACAGGGCTGAGAAAAAAAAGGAGCGAGGTATCAACTTGAAAGTCATTCAGGTTTGTTCATGTGTATGGGCAGTCAGTGCAGACTTTAGTGCCCTAGAGTGGCATGCCAGCAATGGTCTGTCCCCATCAACACAGCCTAGTTTTGCCCCAGCTGGAGCCTTTGGTACAGGCCCATAGAGAACACACTGCATTGCAAGATCTTTATTTCCTCCTTGATATATATTCCCCTCTACTCCAGCCTACAACTTAGCCAAAGAGCAACGACTGAACTTTGGGGACGACATCCCAAGCGCTTTGCGGATTGCGAAGAAGAAGCGCTGGAACAACATTGAGGAGAAGCGGATCAACCAGGAAAACGAGTTGCACTCCTATCTCACCAAGCTCATCATGGCAGAGAAAGAGAGGTAAAAGAGAGGGAGTGATGGCAGATATGGGTGGAGAAACTCTTGAAGAACAAAGGGGACTTTGTGTGTGTTGGGTGCATAGCTTGTTTTATATACTACAGTGGTAGGGAAGCTTTTTCAGCCACACTCCTTTGTTGGGCAGCATTCAGAGGCCATATGCCAGAGGTGGGCAGAGCAATGGATGCAGTGCATAGCCTTTGTACAGCAGGTTGCGCTACAACCACCCAGAAGCCAGAGGTTTTTACACATCCACCAGGACACCCAGCTCTCCATCCAGGGAAGCAAGATGCACCGTCACAATCCAAAGCCCCTTTCCAGGCACTTGAGGACCTTGCAGAGTGCAACAGTGAAGGAGTGGCCTGGGGAGAATGAATGAGCAAGGGCGGGGTGGGGATCCTCAGCCCTCCAGATGTTGTGGGACTACAACTCCCATCATCCCCCGCCAGCATGGCCAGTAACCAAGACTGGTGGAAGCTGTAGTCCAGAAGCATCTGGAGGGCCAGAGGTTCCCCACCTGTGACTTGGTGAGAGTCCTGAGGGCCTGACTGAGAGGTCTGAAGGGCCATATTCATCCGTGGGCCTAAGTGCCTCTTCCCCACGCAGCTTACTAACTACATTTCTGTGCCCGTCACTAGAGTCCTCTGATGGTGGTTTACAAGTAGAAGTAAAAACTGGAAATCTAGAACAGACTAACATGGCACAGAGTGAAACCAAAGTAAAGCAGGTCTTTCACAACAACGTGAAAAGGACTTGGAATTTTAAAAGCTGCCTCGGAAGTCGTAGGAGTTGTCTCCTCCCACTGAAAGCAGCTATCTGGCTTCTCAGGGAGATGAGGTTCTTTCCCATCAGCCACTGAGTGTCATGGACTGGAGCTGAAACCTTTGCATGTGCTGTGACCCCAACTGACGGTGCCTTTCTACAACTTGCGGTGGCTTCTGACCTCCCTCTCCTGATCGCCGTGTTTCTTGATAAGTGACATAAGACGGGTACTCTAGATCAGGCCAGTGGTCTGACATCCTGTTCCCAGAGTGGCCAACCAGATTCCTGTGGGAACTGGCAAGCAGGACCCAAGCACAAGAGACCTGCCCCCTCCTGTTCAGAAGGATTACTGCCTCCAGTGGTGGAGGTAGGGTATAGCCATCATGGCTGGTAGCCCTTGATAGCCTTGCCAAGCTCAAGGTGGAGAAAATCCCATCACTATTAGAATGGCAAAGCAATCTCTGTTTGTAGAAATAGCAAAATTGATGGCAATTATTAGAGGCCACTCAAATCAAGAATAATTAGAGAGTGGGATGGAGTGAAGGAATACATGAAAAAATATGGTTCCGGAATTGAAATATTAATAGAGAATGTGTAAAACGTGCAGCGGTAAGCAAGAAAATAATAATAGAATCAATTGAATAATTATTAAATTATAACAACACAACAAGATGGAAGAAGTAAAATATTGAGATCACACATGGGTGAAGGGGGGTGGGGGTATATGGGAACCTATAATATCATTTATAATATAATTTGCTAATTGCGTTGTATTTACATATAGCAAAGGGAAGCCTAGAGCAATTAGATATATTTTAATTTAGGTAATCTATGTAATAGGCTGTTAGAAAATGAATATGGATTTTGAATTTGATGTTTGTAATTTTTTTTTGCTTTGAAATAATTTTTTTTTAAAAAAAAGATAGCCTTGCCAAGCTCCGTGAAGTTGCCCAATCCCCACTTCTCTTTTAGGGAGTTGGATGAATGTCGACGGGCGCAGGAAGAGGAGAACGTGGAGGAAAGTCGGAGCCGCGTGCAGCTGGCCAACATCGAAGCCAAACATGTGAGGACCCTTGTCAGTCTTTGCCCGGGCTCAGCCTCTCTATTTTAAGGGCCCTCGGTTGACGGTTTGGTTTGGGTTGTCACTGCTTGGTGTCAGCAGCTGTGATGGGGTGAGACATCTGTCCCTCACCCCCATTAACTGGGGGGATCTGCCAGGGTTCAGCCCTGCTCTCACCTCAACCTCAGAGGGAGGAGCAAGGGAAGTGGGACCCTTTGGCAGTTTTCTACACTGCCAGTGTCCCAGAAATGCCAGTGGAGTGTCTCTTGCTAAACGTTTGCTCCAAGTAGAGGGGAAGGATTTGCTGAACTAACAAATTGAATTGGAATACAAAAAGGGAGGTGTGAGGAGGTCCGGGAAACAAGCAAATGAAAGATAAGTGATGGAAAGATGGAATTGTTTTTTAACTATTTTTATTTTGTATTTTCTTTTTTCATTTTGTAATATTTTGAAAATTTTAATAAATATATTTATAAAAAACACACCAAAAAAAAAACAACAAAACAACAGAGGGAAATTAGCAGGATTGTACGGGGAGCTGTTGAAAAGCCCAGGATATGCTCAGGAGAAAGGTATGACAGCATTCCACACGCAATTTAGGAACACAAGTTTGGAACTGTACGGAACAGGTTACTGTTGCGCAATTTGTACTGATACGGAAGAACCGGACATACCTGTCTCTTGTTTGCTCCCAAGGAAGGTGTCTAGAGTGGCACATGGACTTCCTGTTCTGTTCAGGGATGTATACACAGGCTGGCATAACTGAGCTGGCTGCAGTGTTTGCATCCCAAATTAAAACGCTTTGTAAGCAACTTTTGCAGCAGGAGTGGAAGAACCTGTGGGTCTCCTGATGTTGTCAGACTCCGTCATCTCTGAGTGCTGGCCGTGCTGGTTGGGGCTGATGGGAGTTGGAATCTGACAACATCCGGAAGGCTGCAGGTTTCTCCCACCCCTGTTTTTACAGAAGTGCTAAGAGGTTTCTGTTTCTGTACTAATCTTGTTCGAATTTTTAACAATGGAAAAATGTGTTGTTTAGTTTCTTTTTCTGTGTGTGTGTAAATTTGGAGATCTATGGACCATTCATAAACTTGACCTGAACTGCTGTTTTATAAAGAGGTGCAATTGTCCCTCTTGTTTGTCTGCGTTCATCATCCAGATATGACCGTTTGCCCCATCTATAGCTAACTGCAAGGCTGGCTTAATTCCCTCACCTGCTTTCTGCGTTGAGCCTCTGCTCCTTCCTGCTAAGGGATCTGTTTCTCTTTTAGGAAAAGTACCTAGCAGACATGGATGAGCTGTTCTCCCAGGTGGATGAGAAGCGGAAGGTGAGGGCAAGCTCAAGCAGAGGGCCATGCTCCCTGGCTCCATTTACATATTTTCTCAGCTTTTATATTCTACCAATCTTCTATTATGGAACCCAAGGCAGTGTCCATGGGGGTTTCCAGGCAGCTTGGGAAGTTCATTTTTAAAAGGGACGAGTTCGACATGTCCAAAAAAAAGGAACAAATTCCAGTTAACTTTTGTCCCTTTACAAAATGAACTAATTTGGTTCATGTTTCATTCAAAGTTCAAATCCATCCAAGTTCATTGGAGCCCCCTAATTGAAGTTGATTAGTAGCGTGAGTTTTGGTTGGCCCAACCTGGGTAAATCTGCACATCAGCCCTCTCAGATCCTACGATCGGCAAGTGAAGCCTTGTTGGTGTGGCTCTGACTTGTGACAGGGCCTTTTCAGTGCTGACTCCCCCGGTTGTGGAATGCCCTCCCTAGTGAGATCTGTCTCCATCATTATTAACTTCCAGGAGTAATTTGAAAACATTTTTGTTTGCCCAGGGATTTGATGGCTGAAGAACAGTGTTCCTGGCAACCTTTAGATCATAGAATCATAGAGTTGGGACCCTGAGGGTCATCTAGTCCAACCCCCTGCAATGCAGGAATCCTGCCCACAGCTCTCCCTGGGTGGGCTCAAATCACCAGCCTTCTGGTTAACAGCCAGATGCACTGACCCATGAGAAAATGTTTTTAACAGATTTTAGAATATGTTTTTAGAATGCATATATATAGGATGAGTTTGTCACCCTGGGTGCCTTCTTGGTAGAAGGACAGAATATTATCATCATCATCATAATACTTATTTCAGACTGTTAAGATTAAATTTATTATTAAGGCAGCCAAATACAGGATATAGCCAAACATAAATATAAAATATATGCAAGAATTATACATGAAAAACTGAACCTATACAATAAATAAAGCGTTCATAGAAAACAGAATCTTAACTCTCGAGAGCGGCCCCATGACCTTGCCTAAGGTGAGCTGCCTTCACTGCGAATTCAGTCATATTAAACAATGCACACTTGTCTGAACCAAACAACAGATAGTTGATTTAATTTGACTGTTGGAAAAGAGCGTGCTTGACTTTAGATGATGTGCCCACATGTCACAGGGACCATTCTCTTTCAAGAGGCTTTCCCTCGTATGAGAGAAATAAGAGTGTGTGCCTGCTAACCACATTATTATATGAAATTCTTATGCTAAAATAATTTTTTGAGCTGCTATGTTATTGGAGGTCCCTTTTTAAACAGTCAAAAGGTTTGAGAGAATGACTGGCCCAAAGTCATCTGTAGCTGAACAGGAATTGGAAGCCAGGCTTCTCCACTCCCCATCTCGCTGTTCCATCCAATACCCATCACATACCCTATAAGAGGAGATGGGGAACCTGTGGCCCCTCCAGATGTTGCTGAACTACAGCTCGCATCAGCCTTGACTATTGATCACGCTGACTGGAGCTAATGGAAGTTGGGCGTCCCAACAGCTGGAGGGCCAGAGGTTTCCCCTCCCTACTTGAAATCTGTCTAGGTTTAACTCTGGTTTTCTCATTTGAGCCAGAAGCGCGACATCCCGGATTACCTGTGTGGGAAGATCAGCTTTGAACTGATGCGAGAACCCTGTATCACGCCCAGCGGGATCACGTATGACAGGAAAGACATTGAAGAGCACCTCCAGGTAATTCAGGCTTTTTGGCACGATGGTTGCACAGGTGACGGTAGTGACAGGGTTCAGAAGGGGAGGTGCATTGACTTCCTAATATAGAACAAATGGAACAACAGCTTCCTAAGCCCCACAGCTTGTATTTGGAAGGAAAAGTTGAGTTTCTTGCCCAAAGAGCACAAATGGGAAACTTGACCCTCCAGCTGCTGCAGAACTACAACTCCCATATCCCTGGCCATTGGTCATGCTTGCTAGGGCTGATGGGAGTTTTTGTTCAGCAACATCTGGAGAGGCAAAGGTTTCCGCCATGCCTGCCTTAGAGCTGAGAAGGTGGGGCCTGTGCGAATTTCAGAAGCCAGGAGGGGAGCTGGACAAGGGGACTGGTTTGGTAGGGTGAGCCTCAGTGCCCCACCAACCCCACTGGCAAGACCAGAGCAAATACAAGAGAGTTCTAATGTAAGACAAAATGAAAAGGCCACCAGAATAATTTCTGCAGAAGAGAGAAATGGGGGACAGCTGCATGGTTTTTATATTAGCTGTTAACCTTGCATTCAATCAACAGAATTGCATCATATTTCTGTGCAGACCCCAGCTATACCACAAATTGGTAGAAGGGGCTCGGATAACACACACACACATTGAAAGGATGTGCAGGAGGGGCCACTCTATCTCTGTATTCAGCTGGCTGCAAAGGGGTGTACATGCATGTAGCTGTACATGTGTCAAGTTCCCCCACATGAGGGGATCCTGATTGGAGCAGGGTGTGTCTCTTCACCCCCACTCCTTGTGTCAAAGAGCTCCACATACATGGGTGTTGGATAATAAGGCGGTATGAGAAATATTTCACTTAGGTAAGCAAAGGCAGGAGCCCCAAGTGCCTGTCCCTAGAGAATGCCTGCAGTATCTCGGGTTACTGCTCTGGCCAGGAACCCTTCCAGGAGGCCTCTAAAGAACGCAGGCACTTCTGCCACAACTTTGCACCAGGTTTGATGGGATCATTTTGTTATCAGCAGTGCAGGGATCCAGATGCAGCAGGGCTCTCTGCCCTCAGATAGTTCTCACCTCCCTCTGAGAATTGCACCTCCAGTCCTTTCAAAGATGAAAGAAAGGACATAGCTTTTGAAAGGTCATCAAAGGCCTAAAAAAATAGAGTTGGTGTCCAATGCTTGGAGTCAACCTGTTGAAATGAATAAACAGAACTTAGGTTTACTCATTTCAGCAGGCTTACCCTGATGAAACATTAGTTTACACCCTTAAACCATTTTAGGGATTTAAAAAAATGTCTTTGATTTCAATCCAGGTAGGATGGGAATGCTGCCTTATGCAACAAATTTTGGGGTCAGAGGGGGCCCTGAATCTGGCCATTTGGGGGCTGGGGGGAGCATTTTTGTTGCGGGAGACGTGAGAGGCTTCCTGGGCAGCCGCCTGACTGACTCTCTTCTGGGTTCTTTCCAGCGCGTCGGCCACTTTGACCCCGTGACCCGCAGCCCCCTGACCCAGGACCAGCTGATCCCCAACCTTGCCATGAAAGAAGTGATAGACGCGTTCATATCGGAAAACGGCTGGGTAGAAGATTACTGACCACCGCAGGGGAGAGGCTGTGCTTGCAGCCTCCTCGTGGCGTCCCCCAGCCGCGGCAGCCAAGGCCACTGGACTGCTAGAGACTGGCTCTCTGAGCTCGCTGGGCCAGCGCCATGCCTTACTCACTGTCTGTCTCGCTTTCCCTCCTCTTCCTGCTCCGGCTGGCCGGGCTGCCTCAACCTGTGCCAGTTCGGGGCCCGTCCGTCACCTCCCTGGGGTGGGCCTTGGCGTCGGCTTGCTCCCAGGCCGCTTTCCAACACGGGCAAAGCCGGGAGCCTCAGGCCTGGCTCTGAGGTGGCGGGGAAGGCCAGCCCTGTTTCAAGAAGAGAGGCGAGGAGGGAGGCCTGCAGCAGCACTTTCCCTGAGGGCCACAAAATGCGTTGTGTGAGGGGCAGACACCCCACAGTGGCATATGAAGGATACCATGTCGGCCCCGCAAACTGCACCCCACAGCCCTCCAGGCAGATGGACACATTTCCCTCCACACACACACACACACCCCTTCCCATTTTGACTATGCTGCAGTTGTTGGGCTCGGCCTTTGCAGCAAGCCACAAGCTGAAGGGGCTGGACTGCCCCCCTCCCGGTTCTTCCCAACCCCCCCCCCCCAGCTTGGCTTTGAGGTTTCTTCCCACTCCTTTCTCTCTCTGTACAAAGTTTTAGGTTCCCCCCCTCCCCACCTCATTCCGTTTTCCTGCCTGCCCAGGATAGTTGGGTTTATTTTTATTGTTTGGCCTCTTTACTCTGTAAATAAATAGCCACATATTTTGGGCTGGGTGGTGGAGGTGGGCACAGAGATCTAATAATTATTATACAGACGACTGGAATTTGGGTTTGGTTGGGGGAAGCACCTGCTTGTGTGGGAAGCTGAGCCCCCCGGTTCTGTTCCAGGTAGTTGTTTTCCCATTAAACCACTGAAAGTTCCTCCTCCTTGTTGTTTTTTATTTTAAACTCCTCCCTAATAACAAAGTGATATTTTGAAGCATAATTAATATTATTGTGGGGAGTTTTGGTCCTTTAAAAGGGTGCAGGGATTAACATGCAATCTCTCCAATTTTGGTTACACTGGTAAATAAATATCTGAGCATGAAATTTTGAGGAGGGTGATGGTTTTGTGGGCGAGGGTAGTTTCTGTTTAAGGTGGTACAGAGGCAACAGTTAGAGGTGAATCTCCTGTCTAGCTGTTAGTGTGGTAGGTATCTCCCAGCTTTTAATGTACACCCCACATTTCCCCACTAACATTATGAATGGGACTTGAGACAAACTGCTGCAGTGCGTGACAGGTTCTTGTTACGGGTGCCAGTCGGTCACACTGCCTTTCAGGGCCTCCATTACATTTCCCATTTTCCTCTTCAGCAGTCTGCATCCTGTGCCCACTGCCATTTTGCTTTTTTGAGGGGGATACAATTGTACTTCTGCAATCCATGGGGCTCCCCCAAACCTGCTGCTACCTCTCTGTTCTGGGTGCTGCTGTTTTGACTGTGCTTCAGTGGGGGGAAATGAGTTTGTTCTTACACTCTAGGAAGCAAATGGAAATGGAGGGTGGGGTGGAATTTTTTGTAGGCCTTGCTTGAGCATCATCTACTAGCCCTCCCTATCTCTTTATCCTTTTCACCCCTTCTGTAAAGCGCTCCCGGTTTTGTTGGGCAAGCGCTCCCTTTATCTCTGACCATTTGGTGTGCTGACTGGAGCTGCTGAAGTCTAGCAATATCCAAAGGGGTCACAGGTTCCCCATCCCTGCTGTAAAAAAAGCAGCAAAAGAAAAGCATGCAATTCTGCATTATTAAAAGAACTCCCTGTCTAGAAAGCCTTACCTCCCAACAATCACAACCTGTTTACTATATACTTGGAGATCAGAATTAAGAAGAAAGCATTCCTTTAAAACGCCCACACAAACCTTAGCAGTGCAGCCTCTCTTTAAAAACTGAGCACTGCCCTTGTTTTTAATGTATTTTCCCAGTGAAGGCTCTCAAACTCTATTGCTGAGATTTTCCCCATACAAGCACACACATGTAGCCTAGCTGTTCTCTGTAAAATGGGGGCACTTGTTCCACTTGCTGCCTTTGTTCCAAGAACTTTGCAAAACAAAACCCTTTTTCTTTTTTAGAAAAAGGTAAAACATTGAGAAGCAAAATGGTGTTATTAGATCTAATTTAATTTGAAGAGGGGTAAACCACATCTGAGGAACTTGTGGCCCTCTAGATTTTGTTGGGCTCAATCTCCCATCATCCCTCACCATTGGCTATGTTGGCTGGGGCTGCTAGGAGTTGGAGTCCAACGGTAGCTGGCTAGCCATAGGTTCACAACCCCTGGTGTAAACTGCCTTGTTGGAATGGCGGAGGCCCTTTTGGTCCTGCAGTTTATCACTTGATGAGCACCATGCTCAAGCTGAGAAGCCATGTAGGAACTCCATTGCAGCCACCTTCAGTTAAAAGGGCTGATGGGAAAGGACTGATGGAGAGTTGCTGCCAATCACTCAACAATCCTGGGCTGGTTGGGCACACAGCCTGACAACAGCTTTCCATGTTCCTATGAACGCATGTGAGTGACCTAAACCTGCAAATCCAGTTTGGCATCAGAAGCAGGGCTGAGTCTGCCTTTATCGCAAACTAGTGAACTTCAGAGGCAAATGTGTTTCTGGAAAGTCTCATGTGGCTGGAAAAACCATTTAGGCAGCATCTGTTCACAAAGCACTAAATTGCAGCTTGGGGAATGCATGGCCCTCCAGCTGTCATTTGGCTAGAACTTTCATAATCTTTGACCACTTACCATGTTGGCTGGAACTGATGGAGCTGGGGGAGTCTCAATAGCAGCTGGAGGGCACGGGACCCTCATCCCTGAGTTACACCTCTGCAAGTGCATTTGATGTGATCCCTGATTGCCTTGGACAGAGGTGTGAAACCTGTGGCCCTCCAGGTATTGCTGAGTTGGAGCTCTCTCATCATCCCAGACCATCAGCCATGCAGATGGGAGGCCCATGGACAACTGGAGGGCCAGAGGTTCCCTGCCAGAGACGATGAATGACAAACAAAAAATGGAACTGGGGCTTCATGGCAGGAAGCAAAGACAAGAGGAATCAACGGGGAAAACTTGGAACAGGTCACATTTTTGTGGTACAAAGAATATTTGTAAAAACTCAAGTTTCCCCAAACCTTGCATTCGTGGGTGAGCCCTACTCCCCTATCTAACATCAGCATGATATGCAGAAATTCACCAGTGAAGCTTTTCTTAGCAGAGACCCAGCTGGTGGGAAAGAAAGAGAACCAACATCACCAGCTTAATTTTTTGCACCAGCTAAACCGGATAGGAATAGGGCTTATTTAAAACATAAATGGGCATCCAACTGTAAAGAGCACCCTACTGTTGTTTATCACAGGTGACTACATGCAAACAGCCTATTTAACTTCATCCAAGAGCTCTCAAATTTTAAGCTCTTAAGTCATTCGGAAGTCACATTTCCTTCCTGGAATGTAAGGCTATAATTAGAGGACCTGCCTATTACAAAGGGTGGTCACTGGAAATTTCTGATTCATCATCATCTTGTCCATTTTTTACCCAGGAATGGGGAAACCCATGGCTCCCCAGATTATGTTGGACTACAACGCCCCACATCAGACCCAGCCTACAGAACCAGTGGTCAAGGCTAATGGAAGTTGCAGTCTAGTAGGTTCCAGATTAGAAAAGGCTACAGCAAGTCATCTTTCAGAGGAGGGGTAGGTAACATTGTCCAAACATCTGGAGGGGATCATGACTCCCATCAGCCCTAGCCAGCATTGTTAGTGGGCAAGGATCATGGGAGTTGTCCAAAACATTGGGAAGTCCACTAGCAGACCACCACCTGCCTTCTCCTTAATTCTGTGCTATGATCCAATGAGAGACTGGGGTGGCCCCACCATCACTAGCCCCAGATTCCCCAAATGTTGTCGACAAATCCTGCTTCTTCGTACACCATCACAGGAGTGGTGGCAAGAAGGCCAAGGAGGAGCCACCATGCAGATCTGCTAACCCAGGAACGTGGAGATGAAAACGCTGGTGTCCAGATTCAAGGTAGCATGCCACCATCGGTCTGGGAAGTACAGGACCTGTAGGGAAGGTAGAGGAGAGGGAGAGAACAAAGCGAGGACTAACGGGGCCTGGCAACACCGTGCCTTGCTAAAGTCCCTATTGTTACACACCCCTGCTGTGAGAGGTTTCAGGGGGTTGTGCTATCACGTTTAGCTTCCTTGCAATGAAAGAACACTGGAGACTTAAAGGAAGCAAAAGTGGAAGCTAAGCAAGCAGTCCGACACGAAGCAGATCTCCTAAAGAACAATCCAGGTCAACCTTCCGAGGCTGCAGAGCCAATTTCAGAGCAGGTGACAGCAGTGGGTCCATGACACCTGACCAAAGATGCCACATAAGCTTGTGGCAGGCTAGGTAAAGGGACCCCTGACCATTAGGTCCAGTCGTGACAGACTCTGGGGTTGCGGTGCTCATCTCGCTTTATTGGTTGAGGGAGCCGGGGTACAGCTTCTGGTGAACCAGAGCAGCGCACGGAAACGCCGTTTACCTTCCCGCCAGAGCAGTACCTATTGATCTACTTGCACTTTTTGGGGTGCCTTTGAACTGCTAGGTTGGCAGGAGCAGGGACCAAGCAATGGGAGCTCACCCCCTCGTGGGGATTCGAACCGCCAACCTTCTGATCGGCAAGTCCTAGGCTCTGTGGTTTAACCCACAGCACCACCCTAGAGTGCAGCAATTTGTGTAGATATGCACCAGCCAGGATTTCTGCCTGAAATTCTGGAGAAACATGGCGAGTCACTGCAGGCAACACTGAGCAAGATGGACCAACAGTTTGACTTGGCCCTACAGTAATGTAGGCAAGTGCCAGAACTTTGGAAATGGGGCCACAGCTGTGACTCACCTCTCCGGGGTGGATGGTGCACTCGAGAGGCTTCTCCCACGATGGCAGAAAGGGATATGTATCCAACAACCAAGACAGTGTTGTTCTGTTGGGATGGAACTCTGGCATTTTCTCTGGAGGATACAGAAACCAGCGCTACGGAGACAGAGAGAAGGGCTTAGCTGGCAGGAACAGTAAAAGGGATGGGGAACCTGTGGCCCCCCAGATGCTGAGCATCCAGTCCAGTTGAGCCCCCCACCCCACCCACGGCTGATGTCTCAAACAAGACCACCTAGCAGGTGCAGGCTGACCACCTGCATGCAAAGGTGGGCGATCACAGCCCCTCTCATTGCTCCAGCCGAAGCACTTACTTTCCTGCCGAAGATCACCTCTGAGTAACCTGGGCCGTGCCAATGGAACGGGACTCCCGAGCCGGGGCCTGCAAACGACCAGAGAAGAAAGAAAAGGGAGGAAATTAGCCTTTCTTTTCAAGGAGCATTACCATCAAGACAGGAACGCGGTGGCGCTGTGGGTTAAACCACAGAGCCTAGGACTTGCCAATCAGAAGGTCAGCAGTTCGAATCCCCTGTGACGGGGTGAACTCCCGTTGTTCGGTCCCTGCTCCTGCCAACCTAGCAGTTCGAAAGCACGTCAAAGTGCAAGTAGATAAATGGGTACCGCTCCGGCGGGAAGGTAAACGACGTTTCCATGCGCTGCTCTGGCTCGCCAGAAGTGGCTTAGTCATGCTGGCCACATGACCCGGAAGCTGTACGCCGGCTCCCTCGGCCAATAAAGCGAGATGAGCGCCACAACCCCAGAGTCTGCCACGACTGGACCTAATGGTCAGGGGTCCCTTTAGCTTTTACCATCAAGACATAGATCATAGAATTGTAGACTTGGAAGGGACCCTGAGGATCATCTAGTCCAGAGCTTTCCAAACTTTTCATGTTGGCGACACACTTTTTAGACACTTGTACTAGCAAACCAGAGGTTAAGCTAACCCCTTCCCAGTCCTGGAAGGAGCGCAGGGAGTGCTCGTGCTACACACTGCAGCTGACACACTTAACACAGGCATGGGCAAACACCAGCCCTCCAGATGTTTGGGACTACAATTCCCATCATCCCTAGCTAACAGGACCAGTAGTCAGGGATGATGGGGACTGTAGTCCCAAACATGTGGATGGCCGCCAGTTTGCCTACGCCTGCGCTAACATGTCATGACACACAGTTTGGAAAGCTCTGATCTAGTCCAACTCCCCGTAATGCAGGAATATGCACCTGTGCCTTACAGGGATCAAACTTGCAACCTTGGCATTATCAGCACCATGCTCTAACCAACTGAGTTATCCAGGCTGACTCACAGTACCAAATGGCTGGGCTGCTTATAGACTATATTTCTGATTGACAGTGTGGTGCAGCGATTGGAGTGTTGCATTAGGGCCCTGGAGACATGGGTTCAAATCCATGCTCCACCATGAAGCTTGCCGACTGACCTTGGGCCAGTCACTGGCTTTCAGTCCATTTACTGTTATTATTAGTTAATTCATTACTTGCCCATCTCCCTACAGTCCCAGGTCGGGTTACAGCAATTAAAACACAACATTAAAAGATCTGCCTCCTGGAGTTGTGACGACAAAATGGGAGTGGGCGTGGAGAACACTGTACACTGTAAATGAAGGAACTACCTATCTTGCTTTTCTTCCGCTACGAAACTCAAGGACTTGCCTCCAACCTGGGCTGAGTAGGATCCAGGTGTTCAGACCATTCCCTTGTCTCAGAGGAAGGCTGATGGCAGCAAATGCCACGGGAATAATCTTGCTGCTGCTTTAGGTTCTCTCTGCTCCCATTACCAGACCTGGATGTTTTGTTCTTGTTTTCTTCTTCACACCATGCGGTTTCGAGATAGGAGGGTAGATTTCTCCTTTAGCCAAGCACTTTCCAGCACTGGAGAGTGTACCCACTGTTAGGGCTACACAGCTGCAGCTGCTGAGTTTTGCTCCACCACTATGGCCTTGAGCAATCCTGCAGCCGTCTCTCTGCCCAGGTGGCAAGATAACCGATTCACTGGCACTTTTCCCTCAGAAAGGCTATGCCCAGAATCCCATGACCATTAAAAGAAAAGCAAGAAGCCTTCAAGGACACATTCCACAGCCAGGCAAAAAAATTCAGGGAGAGTGCAAAGTAGCGTCGGTGGGAGGAAAGGCCTGGAGGGAGGGGGAATGACCTGGAAAGAGTCCCAAGGGCCAGACAGAGAGTGTTGGAGGGCCACATTTGGCCCCGAGGCCTGAGTTTCCCTATCCCTATGGAAGACCACTAAAGAAATAAATTGAGGGTCAAGGCCTGGGGTCTGCCTTGAAACCAGCTGAAATTCACAGAAATGAAAACCCCAATAGAACCTGAGAGGCAGTGTGGTGTAGTGGTTAGAGTGTTGGACTAGGAGCCGGGAGGCCAGGGTTCAAATCCCCACTCAGCCATGAAACCCGGTGAGCTTGGGCCAGGCACTGCCTCTCGGCCTAGCCTACCTCGAAGGGTTGTTGTGAGGATAAAATGGAAGAGGAGGAGAAAGATGTATGCCACCTTGACCTCCTTGGAAGAAAAGTGGCATATAAATCAAATAAACAGAGCAATTGGGGCAAAATACCTACATGAGTAGGCTCGGGGGGAGGATCAGACCTCTTCAAAGCACACATTGGATAACAATTCCCAAGTGCCGTCTGCCTTTCCATCCCTTTGATGCCCCAGAGACTGACCTGCAATCCCAAAACTGTAGGCTCCAGTGGTGCCTGGGATCCGGAAGGGTGGCGGGGTGTACTTCTGGAAGAGAGGGCCCCACTCCGTGAAGTTGTTGTCCCCAAAGAAGTAGAGTGTTTCTGCAAGGAGGACAGAAAGCACAACCGTAGACCTTTGCATAACAGAAAAAGCATCCTGTAATCAATTTAGTGTCCCGTTCCAAAAGCAGACTGTTGGATTTTCATGACGGGGGGACATGTTCAGTCACTTGAACAAAGAGCTGGGCTGAGAAGAGAACCTTAGCCTTCCTGTTGCGCCAGCAGCAAATGGAGCCTTGCTGTCTTGACAGCAAAAATGTGGCACTGCCAGTTGTGCAGGGAGGAGAGGGGGGAAGCAAGGAATCGGCCCCTGAATACGACCCACCAGGGACTGCATGGCAGGATGGAGGCCAAGCTCAGCTCTTGAGGCAGGGGAAGCAATTCTAGAGTAGGATTGCATCTATTAATCCTGTGGTTGGCAAGGGAAAAGTCAGGGCATGGGCAAGGTGGCTGGATTGGGTGCAAAAGAGGTTTGTGCAGCATCAGGAAAAACTAAAGACAGCAGACAGACAGGGCAGCTAAGATTCATGGAGGGGCAGTATTAGCTGAAGGAGGCTAAGGCAGAGCAAGGAGGCTGCTCCAACTCTTCTGTGACATCTGAGCTGTCCCTATATTCTCCCCTTAGCCTCCAAGAACAAAACCATAAGAAGAGCCTGCTGGATCAGACCAATGGCCTGTCTAGTTCAGCATCGTCGTCTCACAGTGGCCAACCTGTTGCCTATTTGAACGCCCCAGAGCCCTCTCCCCTCCTGAAATTTCCAGCAACTGGTATTCAGAAGCATTACTGCCTCCAGAAGTGGAGGCAGAGCTGAGCTACCATGGCTAGTAGCCATTGGGAATTTGCCCAGTCCTCTTTTAAAGCCATCCAAGTTGCTGGCCCTCATTGCCTCCTATGGGGACAAGTTCCCTAGTTTCACTAGGCACTGCATGAGCAAGTCCTTCTTTTCATCTGTCCCGAATCTTCCAGCGTTCAGCATCATCGGATAGCCCCGAGTTCTAGTGCTGCAGGAAGCCCTACTCACCACTCCCCAAAGAGGTCCGGTCCTGCGGCTCCAGCAACTGATCCACATACTCCTGGAAGGGCAGGTCAACTGCAAAAAGGAAGTTAGTGATGCTGAATGCAGCCAATGGGCATGCATCTCCCTCAAAGAGCTGTCCTACTTGGCAGGAGACCAGAGATGGAGGAGACTCTCACCTCTAAACACTGGCCCTGCTGGCTGGGGATGATGGGACTTGGCAGTCCAACAACATCCAGAGAGCCACAGGTTCCCCACCTATGAACTACTGACCATTTTCCATTCACAGTGGAGCAACTGGCCTTCTGCAGGCTCAAGCCCAGCCCACTCTGGTTCCTTCCAGAAAGCATCTTGGCCACCCTGCCCTCACCTTTGCGGTAAGAATAGGTGTTGGCGGTGCTAAGTCGGACAGGGCGGTCCCCAAACCTGGTCAGCAGCTTGTCCTTGGTACATTGGGCCTGGAACTCCTGCAGGTAACAGAAGGAGATAAGAGTAGAATCAGAGTTGGAAGGAATCTCGAAAGATCCCAGATTCAAACCCTGCATCTCCAGATACCACTGGGGGAAAACTCCGCTGTGAAAACTTGGACAGCTGCTGACAGCATTGACAGTGCTGAGCTAGATGGACCGATGATCTACTTTGGCATAATAAGGCAACTTCCTGTGTTCCTAAAGGAAAGGGCCACAGCTCAGTAGCAGAGCATCGGTTTGCTTTGCATGCAGAAAGTCTTAGGTTCGATCTCTGGGGATCTCCGGGTGCAGGACTGGGAGAGACACAGGCCTGAGACCTTGGAGATCCAGCTTATGAAATTGGGCCAGCACCAAGTCTTCTTTCTAATGTTTAACCCGAATGTGCAGTTGTGGGGACACTCACCGAGTTGTCTGTTATTCCTTGGAGTATAACTGGCCGAGAGAAGGCATACCTAAGAAGCAAATAAGACAGGTACAGTTGTTGTATGCAAAGGCAGATCTAGGGGGAAGTGACCAGTGCGATCTCACTGGGTGCAGAGCTTCTGGGGTGCTGCAGGGGGCGCCGCAACTATGACATCCAACAGAAGGCAAGAGGGGGGGTGGCTTGCCAGATTTTGGCACTTCACAGTGAAATTTGAGACACCAATGTCCGCCACTGTTGTATATAACAGGCAGCTCTTGATTTAGTTTCATTTATGCATCGCTGCCTATAAAACATCTCAAAGCGATTTAACAATAAAAACACAGTTCCAACAATCTTACATTTAAAAAAGCAATTGCATATACAGTGGTACCTTGGGTTAAGTACTTAATTTGTTCCGGAGGTCCGTACTTAACCTGAAACTGTTCTCAACCTGAAGAACCACTTTAGCTAATGGGGCCTCCTGCTGCTGCTGCGCCGCCGGAGCACGATTTCTGTTCTTATCCTGAAGCAAAGTTCTTAACCCAAGATACTGTTTCTGGGTTAGTGGCGTCTGTAACCTGAAGCATATGTAACCCGAGGTACCACTGTATTAAAATATTTTCATGTCAAATGGGAAGGCCTTGCATGCAAGAAGTCACAGGGTCAATCCCAATGGCATCTCCAGGGAGGGCTAGAAATGCCCCCTGCTTGAAACCCAGCAGAGCCACTGCCAGCCAGTGTAGGCAATATGGAGCTAGATGAACCAAGGAAACTGACTAGACATAAGGTAGCTTCCTATGTACAGATGCAGACGGGGATGAGAACCTCCACTTTCAAGGAGAAAAAGGAAGATTTTGAAGAGGCACCATAAAGACAACAAAGACACGCCTGTCATTATTCCTGGCTGGAATTCAATCATTTACATGCAAATTCGTGTTGAGCAGATAAAGCTGATTAGGAGGTCTTGTGGAACAGACCTGAGGAAGTTCAGTCTTTTTGAGATAAGCAAAGTGATGAGGAAATGTACTGGAAAGTATGGGATAACACTTGCTTATCTGACTTATCCCCAAACAGATCAGAATGAATGCTAATTAAATAGCCAACATCCTCTAATCTCTTGGCAAACAAATCAGGACGAATGCTCAGCCAACACATCATTCTGGAAGTTCCCTAAGATTCAACACTAAATTTATAATAGGAACAGGGAATCTGTGGCACCTCAGATGCTGCCCAAGGAATAGAGCAGGGTATCATGTGGCTAACTCAGTGGGTCTTACTTCAGAGTAGGCACGCAAAGGACTGTGCTGCTCATAAACAGCAGAAAGGTCACCTGTGATAACCTTGTGTATATGTGGAAAAGGATGGAAACCCTCCAAGCCTGGCAATAGCCAGGCATTTAAAGGTTTTTGCCCTGGCAACCTTGAAATTATTAGTCTAAGAATAGGTGATTGGTTTTAGGAGTTAGAAACTTCTTTTAGAAGGTTGTTTTGTACTGTTTCTTTTCTTTTTTTAATTATCTGTATTACTATCGATAAGGGGACGCGGGTGGCACTGTGGGTAAAACCTCAGTGCCTAGGACTTGCCGATCGTATGGTCGGCGGTTCGAATCCCCGCGGCGGGGTGAGCTCCCGGCGTTCGGTCCCAGCTCCTGCCCACCTAGCAGTTCGAAAGCACTCTTAAGTGCAAGTAGATAAATAGGGACCGCTTTATAGCGGGAAGGTAAACTGTGTTTCTGTGTGCTGCGCTGGTGCTGGCTCACCAGTGCAGTTTCGTCACGCTGGCCACGTGACCCGGAAGTGTCTTTGGACGGCGCTGGCTCACGGCCTCTAGAGCGAGATGAGCACACAACCCCGGAGTCGGTCACGACTGGCCCGTACGGGCAGGGGTACCTTTACCTTTACTATCAATATGTTTGCTGCCCAGGCTCTTTTGAAGGAAGGTGCAGGTATAATGAAGATGATGATCTCACAGACCTCTCCCTCCCTCCCTTCCCAAGACTGTGGACCCCCCCAGCCCCCTGATGATGACCAAAACAGGTAAGCAGAAAAAACGCCCCTGCCACTTACTGTTCAATGAACTGGGAGTAGGTTAGTGTGGCATCCCTCCTCTCAATGGTACAGCTGTCTTCTTCCATTAACGCAGAGTGGCTGCTTGTCAACCTGAGGGGAGAAGGGGTGGAGAAAGGCAGTCCTTAAAATACAGGATATTTTTCATATCCATTTATAGCAGGGGTGAGGAGCTTTTTTACAGCTGAGGGCCTCATTGAATCCTGGAGCTGGAAGGGACCCTGAGGATCATCTAGTCCAACCCCCTGCAATGCAAGACTATGCAGCTGTCCCTTATGGGGATTGAACCTGCAACCTTGGCATTATCAGCACCATGCTCTAACCAGCTGAGCTATACTTGCAGGCTTGCAGGCGTCATTCTCTCAAGGGTAATCTTTCTGGGGGCAGCATATTATTATTAGGGTTTTTTAATTTAAAAAATTGTGTATGCCACCCTTCATCCAAAGATCTCAGGATGGTTCACAGCATAAAAATACAGAACCCCCCCCCCAGAGTACATAATAAAAACTAAGAACAGAAACAAAATGAAACAAAAACCTTCCCTCCCACAAACATATTTAAAAGGACACAGAGTGTTAAACAGCCAAAGGCCTGGTTGAAGAGGAACATTTTCACCTGCCGTCTAAAGATGTATAATGAAGGCGTCAGGCGAGCCTTCCTGGGGAAAGCATTCCACAAACAGGGAGCCACTGCAGAAAAGGCCAGTTCTCGTGTTGCCAGACCTCTTGTGGAGGAGGCACATGAAGAAGGGTCTCAGATGATGAATGCAGGGTCCTGGTCTCTTTATGCTGGGGTGGGGGCAAGGCCAAACCAACAAAGGGTGGAGACAGCATTCTCTCTCTCTCTTCCTGACACTCCCCATTCCCCTCTGACACCCCCTATTCTCTGACACCCCTATTCTCACTTCCCCTCTCTCTGACTCCCCCTGAATGAATCAGACTTGAGCACTTGAAAACCAGCTCCAGCTCATTCGTTTGTTTCCACATTCTACAGGTCCTGCTTTCAGAGTTCTCAAGGCTATTAACACAGTAACAACAAGGTCATGCTAAAGTGATCACAATTAAAGTGCAACAAATAAAGACACGGCCCTAAAGCGGGGAAAGGAGACTGTGCAACAATGAACGAATTAAACAAACAAACAAACAAACAAACAAACTAACTAACTAACTAACAGGGCATTGGTTGATATTGAGGCAAAAATGTGATACAGGAGGAAGGGAACCTTTCAAAATGTGAGTTCATGCATGAAGGGATTATATATGGATCTCACTGATCCATTTTTTGACTGTGTACCTACTCACCAGCCTCCATCAGTGTCCAGCAATGCTAAATATCCAGGCAGAAGGATGAGCATCAAGAAGGGGAAGAGCAAAAAGCGCTGGCCCCTGGGTCCCATCTGCTCCAAAATCCTACACATCTGTCATTCCAAGCAGTGATCCTTTGCAGGCTGAGGCTGCAGTGGGAGAACCTTGAGAGCAACCTCCTTCAGGAAAAATGCTTTAAGGCCAGGTGCTCAGCTGCATCTGGAAGATGGTAGAGTGCAGGGAGCAGTTTTTACACAGTAAAAAATCCAGGTTCAAATCTACACTCAGCTGCGAAACTTGCTAAATGGCCATAAGGAAGGCTGATACTGTACCACAAGGGGTGGTTGATAAGATTGGACACGGGTTCACTGTTGCATGAGAATTGGCCACCTCAGAGGATCATTCCAAAATACTCATCCAGCAACCCTGGCTGCTTCAGTACACTGCTTAACGCCTTTCCTTTCCCCATAACGAGGGGGATTAAAAAAGATGTAAAATTATAAAGTGCATGTAAGTGCATTACATCTTCATGGCCATGCCAGAGCGTTCAGATAATGATGTGATTGATTGAGTGTGTGTGTGTGTGTGTGTGTGTGTGTGTGTCTCCCCTACTTTACAAAGGACAGCCCTCTGCTGAAGGGCTGCCTGGTCCCATTGTAGCTGAAAGGTTAAAAAAAAAAATCACCAAACCCTATCAGAAGCAAGAGCAGAGTCGAGAGGGCTTGAATTTGCCCATCCCCAGACAGCAGGCAGGCAGCTGACCTGGCCAGTCTCCCCCCACTATGGAGAGATGCGTTTTATTCCTGGTTTAAATTACAGCAATTATTTCTAAATTTGCATCTATAGGGATAAATAGCCACTTGCAAATTGTAGGCAAATCTGTATCCTCGTTTGCCCCCGCGCAACTCCCGGCGCTGCATTTCCTCTTTCTTAGAGACACGTAAGCGGCTTCATCGGACTGACGGCGAGCAGACGGTCTCTAGACGCTCCTCCCGCCTCTCTCCTACCTGCATCCCTCCACCTGCTCAGCCCACCTGCGTCTCCATCCCTCCCGCTTTACCTCGCCTTCCTTTTACCGCGCCGGGCGCTCGTGCCTTGGGAGATCTCGCCAAGCCCCCTGGAACGGGCAACCCTTCCTCGCCCCTTTGGATCTGGGAATTGTAGTCCGTACGTTGCAGCCACTCCGGGAAACGGAGTAATCACCGTAAGAACCTCTCAACTTTCCAGCCAGGCAACACCCAACATTATTTCTCGCGACGCTGGCCGCTTTCCAAGTTGGAAATGTGCAAAAATTAATCCCAGCTGTAGCAGCGCAGGAAAGACGGAAGGACTACATTACCCAGCAGGCACAGAGGGCACAGGATTAAGCCAAAGGGAGCCCCCCCCCCGCAAAAGAATGTCGAAAGCCGGCTGTTTTGGTATTGGATACAAGGGCTAAGACTACATCACCCATAAAGCATTGCAGCTGAAACGCGCACCCTTTCTTCTCTCGACGCACATGAGTTTCTCCTCTGTACTCTTACGAGAGGGTGGCGTTGTATGGAAGTAGCATCCCAAAACCAGATATATTCTTTGCCCTGCTGCAGAGCTCGTCGTGTTAGAATGTGCCACGACTGGAAAGCCCAAAGTCACGTTACCTCAGTGTGGGCTTGTCTTTCCTAATGCACACCTCCTGATAATTCGTGATTCAAATAAAAATTGCACTGATGCTTTTGAATTATGGTGCTGGAGGAGACTCTTGAGAGTCCCATGGAGTGCAAGAAGATCAAACTTATCCATTCTGAAGGAAATCAGCCCTGAGTGCTCACTGGAAGGACAGATCCTGAAGCTGAGGCTCCAATACTTTGGCCACCTCATGAAAACAGAAGACTCCCTGGAAAAGACCCTGATGATGGGAAAGACTGAGGGCACCAGGAGAAGGGGACGACAGAGGATGAGATGGTTGGACAGTGTTCTTGAGGCTACGAACATAAGTTTGACCAAACTGCGGGAGGCAGTGGAAGACAGGAGTGTCTGGCGTGCTCTGGTCCATGGGGTCATGAAGAGTTGGACACGACTAAATGACTAAACGCCAAGTGTTGGCCCATTAGGGCGAGAAATCCAAACATTGAAGAAGTATAATCAAATAGTTTTGGGATCCCTTAAGATTAACACATTTATGGTATAGCCTGATGAATGAAGGTACAAATATACATGTTTGTGAGGATTGCAAAGTGAGGTCAGAGGGAAAGGAAGAACAGAAAAGTACAGGTGGTGACAACTGCCTGATTAACAGGTTAGACTACTGCAACACATTGTACATGGGGCTGCCTTTGAGGGCGGCTTGGAAACAACAGCTGGTGCAGGAAGCAGCTGCTAGGCTGTTAACAGGGACAAAACATGAATGCTTAACTCTGGTTCTGGTCTTGACTGCACACTCCACCAATTTATTTATGGTCTCAGTTAAAAGTGCTGGTATTGACTTTTAGAGCCGTATATGGTTCAGAACACCTATAACCAAAGAGCTGCCTTTCCCTTTATGAATCCATATGGACCCTGAAATTGTTATATGCCATTTTTTGCATGCTTCCTCCAAGAGAGGTCTAGAGGGTAGCAATGATAGAACAAACCTTTTCTGTAGTAGACCCCCACCCCTAGGAAGTGCTCTCTCCACGAAAGCTTTCCTGGAACCAACTTTGTCATTTTGGTAGCAAAGACATCCCCCCCTGCAGTGGACATTTGGGTACCAGTGACTGGATGCTAACACATTTTTATTATGTATTTTATTCTTTTTGTAGATCACTTGGAGGCTTTTCACTGTGCCAAGCAATTAAAAAATGCAATAAACCTAAGCAAACCATTCTCACCCAAAATATTTGATAGCACAATACTTCATCAGTAACTCATTTAAGACATGTAGCATGATATAGTGTGTACACAGCCTTTATCTTTAAAGCACATTTTCCCCCCTCAAAAAATTATGGACCCTGTAGTTGGTTAAGGGGTTCTTGGGAATTGTAGCTCTGTGAGATATAAACTAGAGCCCTGAATTATTTGATGAAAGAATGTGCCTTGAATGTGCTTTAAAGGGATAGTGGGCAGGTAGCTGTAGTCCTTCAGCCCACAAGTGAGAGCACTGAACCTCTTGAAATACTGCAATTAAAAGGCTTCACAGTCTGCCTTTGAAGTTCCTTTTCCCAGTAATGGTTACCTTCAGATCAGCTGCAGACTGTCCTGGGAAACTAAAATGTTCCCCCATTGGCTTTAGTAGGGCCAAACAAAAAGTCACAACACAGAAGAGAGCAAACTTTCAAGTTTCACAAAAGTCTTCCTCAGTTAAGATATATTACACAAAGCCAGAAGTGTGGGCAGGAGAGAAAAAAGATGTTCCTGGGCATGATGGAAAAGGCCAAGGCTACAATCTGTAACAGCTTTCCAAGGTGGAGCACTCCAGATATTTTAAACTACAATTCCCAACAGCATGAGTAAAATAATGAGTGTGTGCCATGTCACCTAGAACATTAACACCTGCAGTTAGAAGACCACTCTGTGCTTGCATTAGTGCTATTTGAAGAAAAGAGGCAGGATGAACTAAAGCTGAACTTGCAGAAGGTCTCTTTAGAGAACTAGGTATTACAAGCAGGGCCTGCAACAAAATGTTGCAGGGCATTCCCACCGTCTTAAGGATGGAGAAATTGTAGCCTCTTCAGATGTTGATGGACTTCAACTCCCTTCATTGCTGACCATGGACCATGTTGGCTTGATCAGCACTTGCAAGACCACCTATTCCCTATCCTTGCTCTAAGCAGAGAGCTGTTGTTCAGGGGCCCAACCAACTGAAACACAAGCTCTGTAGTCCTTTCCAGGCCCTGAAGGGAAGGAAATAGGACCCCCCCCACCTGTCACAAAAAACCCTTCTCCTGCTGTGCTAAAAGGATCAGCTGACAGGTGATGCGAAAAACCTATGCATGAAATTAGAGAACCACAGCCATGCAGGGTAGACAATGCCATACTTGTGTTTGCTGATCTGTTATTATCTGTTATTATTATATGGGTGGTAGTCAATGTTAGTCCTACTTAGAGTAGACCCAATGAAAGCCCACGTCTATGCACTGGGCAGAAGGTCTGAAGGGGGGAATGGTATATGCACCTGCAAGCTCCCCACTTAATCAGACTTCCTGTCTAAGGCGTGGAGGTCTGGAGGGAAGAGTGGAAGGACAGAAGATGAAGATACAGTAGGTAGGGCCAGCACATATAGCCCAACTCCACCACCTACTCATGATGGGGAGGTCACACAAGCTGCAGCAATGCATATTGCTAGGGAAGAGGAGACAGAGCGCAGGGTTGCTCTTTCAGCGGCAGATGCACATTCCCAGGAAAGTTTTGGCATAACTATTAGAAACATTCAGTGCTCCATACTTTTTCTGTTTATTAAGATTCTCCTAAGAAATTACACATCGTGCCAAAATTACTATATTTTGAAATTTAAAAAATAAAATCTGTTAAGTGCAACTAGGTAAGCCAAGTGTCTAAAGAAAACTACAGATTGTAACAGGGACATCTTGTGGAATGCCTGTTTTGCTTGGCAAGGTCTGTTACTGCTTCTCAATAAGAAATGGAAAATGGGTAGTCTGGCTGAATGGGTTTTATTGGATCAGCTTCTACTGCGGCAGGAATATGCAAGCTTTCTACTTACAAACGGCTCTTCATCTGGCAGAATGGAGGGTAGGAGCTATATCACTGGATACATATAAAGCAAGACTAACCCACAATCAACATTTTCCTAGTAGTAGCCTTTGCATGCTTTTTAACATTTCCGATTGCCTTGAGAGTCCTCCCCTACTACTCTTTTTTGTGTGTCAGAGCAATAGCAGCACAAATGGCATATCCCTCTATCCCCTTCATGGCTCTTCTCTGAATCCCATCACTGTTCTCAACAGCTTTGTTCATATCCTATAGGTCAGCTCTATGACTTCCTAAAGGATAAAAGAATGGGATTGGTTAAGGTCCTGGGCAGGGGAGGGACATATGCCACCAGCTCACCCACAAGGACCAGTCTCACAGCTTAAGGTGGAGGGGGAGAAAAAAGGTGAATCCACCTGTGCATATAGTTCTTGCTAGAGGGCTTTATTAGTCAAGGAGAGCTTTTCACACAGGTAGTGTACTTGTGGATGAGGAGTACTTGACCTCATCTCTCTGAGCTGACCCCACGTAGTTGTCCCGCCTGGCAGCGTACTCCCCAACGTTGGGCAGCCCTGGCACCACGCAGCAGCTCAGGGCACTGCGGTAGATACTCATGTCGTGGGCGTCGTACCACTCGTCCGTCTTCTCATCATAGCACTCAACGTTGAACGTTGTTGTGAAGCCGTTGAAGCCGCCCACCACAAAGAGCAGGTCGTCCACCACTTCGATGCCAAAGTTGCTGCGAGGGTTGAACATGGTTGGGATGGTCCTCCAGGTGTTGGCAATGGGGTTGTAAGCTTCTGCGCTCCGAAGGCGGTTGGCTCCGTCAAATCCGCCCACCTGTGAGGCAGCAAAAAGACTGGGAGTCATTTAGAGGAGGAGGTGGTGGCGGCAGCTGCTTCACACCAAGTCAGATCACTGATCTAGGTAGATCAAGGAGGCACCGTGCAGATGCTGGGCCCAAACTCCCTTCAGTTCCATGCAATAGCAGTAAATAGCAGTAGTCAGGGCTGGTGCAGAAGGACATTTTATTTTATTGCCCAAGATGAAGGACAAGATGGCACAAGAGGGAAGCTGCCATAGGGGCCAATGACCAGAGAAGAGAGTTGTTGTCATCTGATCAAGTCTTCTGTGCACACTGAAAGCTTGCATAAAGGTAAAGGTAAAGGTACCCCTGCCCGTACGGGCCAGTCTTGACAGACTCTGGGGTTGTGCGCCCATCTCACTCAAGAGGCCGGGGGCCAGCGCTGTCCGGAGACACTTCCAGGTCACGTGGCCAGCGTGACATCGCTGCTCTGGCAAGCCAGAGCCGCACACGGAAACGCCGTTTACCTTCCCGCTAGTAAGCGGTCCCTATTTATCTACTTGCACCCGGGGGTGCTTTCGAACTGCTAGGTTGGCAGGCGCTGGGACCGAGCAGCGGGAGCGCACCCCGCCACGGGGATTCGAACCGCCGACCTTTCGATCGGCAAGCCCTAGGTGCTGAGGCTTTTACCCACAGCGCCACCCGCGTCCCGAAAGCTTGCATAGCACTAGCTTAAATCAACACAAATTGTTCCAGTAGAAGACTTCACTGAGGCATTTGACTCCCTACTTTAAATTATACCCCGGCATGGACTCACTACATGCCCTATATGCAAACCACAATTGTAGCCTTAACTTTACGGTGGGATAAAAGCAAAGA